CTCTTGTTGCATCGTGTGCTGGTTGGGATAAGTACGCTTTTCCACGTGTCATGTGTGACCATTGGACTTGATTCTTCAGGTAAAGGTACCTTTCATGGCATACACATTTAGCCGCATGCACACCGTGTTTCTCGCTCGCAGGCGTGTGGGTATTGTTCAGGCCTGAACGCAAGCCCTGGCTATGTGCCCAGTAGGCCGTGGTGCTGCCCGTGAAAAGCTAACCGAGGCTAGAATATTTGAGATGCCCTTTTTAAACAGCTTTAGAATGATGTCAGCTAGTCGTTGCACCGATGGAAGCTATATTGACACGTTTGAAATGGACAAATGATACTGGCGGCCGAAACGTAAAGAGTTCGCTTTACGCCTAGCATCGGCCCTGTTAGTAACTCCGAGTGGGTACGCCCGAATGACATTTTGTTCATGAAGGACCGTCTCCACCGTCTCCATGATGATAGCGGAATTGTATGCATGGTTTTGAAATGATGTTGCTAGTGATATCATCGATTTAAACTATGCTGGCACGTTTGAAATGGCCAGACAATGGTAGCGGCCGAAGCGTGAGGAGTCCGCTTATGTCTATCAACGGTCACTATTGGTAACATCGAGTGGACAGATTTCAATGCAAGTTTTTTCACGAATCATTTGGATTTCCAGTACTTTCTAAATGTAGCAAAGTTAGGTCATGGAGTCAAATTGGACATTTCATGGCAGGCGGTCGTAATGGAAATGAGTATTGGTTCAAAATGGTGATTTGGCGACGGGCGCTACCGGTCGGAAGTGGACTTCCTTATTCATTTTCCTGTACTGACGTAGCATTTTCTCCGTTTTGTAATGTGTGACCAACGCGTTGTATGGTATATACACATAACCGCACACAAGCCTTGTATCAGGCTTGCAGGCGGTTAGGTATTGCGTTGGCCTTAACGCACGCTGTGGCTTTGTGCCCAACAGGTCATGGTGGGCCCCGAGGAATAATCCATCGCGGCTACAATGCTTTCAGGGTCCTGACCATGATACATGAATGTTCAGATGAACACACGTTCTATGGTACACTGTATAGCGAAAACAAACGAGTTTCGGCTGGCAGGCTGTTAGGTGTTTCGTCGGACGACTGGGCACATGGCACGCTGCTCCTATTTGCTCAGTTAGCAGCAGCGCTGGTCCCCGGGAATAACCCGCCAATAAGAATATATGAATTGCCATTCAGACAGTTTTGGAATAGTGTCGACGAGTGATTTCATTAATGGAAGCTAAACTGACACGCTTGAAATCGGCAGATAATGCTGACGGCCGAATCGTAGAGTCAGCTCATACCTATCACCGGCCACATTGTTAACTCTGCTTCTCTTGTGCGCTCGTTGGGATGTGTGCTTCCTTTCAACGTGTCATATGTGACCGTTGCACTTGATTTTTCACGTAAACATGCCTTTCATGGTAAATACAGTTAGCCGCAGACACACCGTGTTTCACGCTCGAAGGCTGGTGTTGGTATTGCGTAGACCCTAACGCAGGCTCTGGTTATTTGGCCTGGAGGCCGTGGTACTGCCCGTGAAAAGCTTCCCGGGGCTAGAATATTTCAGATGCCATTTTTAACAGACTCTTTACAGCTTTATAATAATGTCCACGAGTCGTTGCACCGATCGAAACTATACTGACACGTTTGAAATGGGTGCATGGTGCTGGCGGCCGAAACGTAAAGAGTCCGTTCATGGCTATCACCTATATGGCTATATTGGTAACTCGGAGTGGACTTAGCTCAATGACGTTGTGTCCAGGAATCATCTGGAGCACCTTGCAGTAGTTTATAAATGCGGAACAGCTATGCCATGCAGTGAAATTCGAGATTTCACATCAGACGGCCGGAAGATAAATGGAAGTGCTTGGCTGGAAAGGTAATATGTGGACTGGCGCTGCGTGCCGAGACCTAGGCAGAGGAACGGCTCAAAAAAGGTGTCACCCATACTCATTTTGCATTTAATTTTTCATTGGTTGCCATGGGGTAAATGTCAAAAATTTTGGAAGGGGGGTGGGGGGCGGAGTGCCATGAAACGTAGAGATCTCACGTTTGTACGTTAACAGCCCAAACGGCACAACGTGATTGATTTCCCCGTCCCAAATGTGATGGCTTCTTTCTCATGTCATGTGTGACTATTATGCTAGATTTTTAGAACAAAGACACGTTTCATGACATTCACATGTAGCTGCATGCGAACCTTGTGCCATGCTCACAGCGGGTAGGTATTGGGTCAGCCTGAACGTACGCTGTGGATTTGTGCCTAATATCCAGCATTTGTTTTCTGAACATTTTTAAAATGATTTCATCATCGTTCAACATCATTCAGAATTACGTGTTGTTAAGTGCATTAGCGAGGAACATTACTCACATAGATAAGACAGAGGATTGGCCTTATTCCTCGGAAAAAAACCTGGACAATGGGGATATATGGGGACAATGGTTCGGTTGATATTTCGGCAAGGTACTTCATCGAAGCGATAGCAGAAGCAACCTTCAAATAGCAATAGCAATAGCAATTAAAAAACAAGAGCGGTAGCAAACTTCTGCCATTGTTTCAATAGAGACATGGTGGCGAAATTTCAACCGAACTATATCTCCATTGTCCTGGTTTTTCTGCGAGGAATAAGGTACTATTGTCTTATCAACATCATTCAACTCTACGGGTTAATGGCTTCTTATATCTGTATATGTTTGCGGTTCCTCACTGAATAATGAAAAGCGCATGAATGTAATCTATCATTAAAGCATGTAGTAATATGTACATACATATACATATATATATATATATATATATATATATATATATATATATATATATTACTTCAGCTTCAGATCGACGCAATACTTAACCGCCTGCAAGTCTGCAACAACGCTTGAGAGCAGTTATGTGTGTACCATAAAGGGAGTGTTTCCCTAAAAAAATCAAATATGGTTGTTGTACATGACGTAGCAGAGAAAACAACAGACTTCGGACGTGGGAATCAATAAAAAGGTGTTTTGTCCCAAAGGTTAGGGAACGGCGGTTACATGGGTGTTGTCCCTCCCCCCCCGTTCCGAGAATGTTCAGCACGAATCGTTCGAGTACAAAATCAGTTTGGGCCACCCCCACCTTTCTGACACGTTTCTCCGGTCATGTGTCCGCTGGTAGCGCAAGTCGATAAATCACTTTTCCAACCAAACGTCTTTGTAACCTTACCAAACCTTACTCCGCCTGCAATGAAGTTCAAATTTCACTGCATGACCAAACTTTGCTGCACTTAAAAACTTTTGCAAATGGTTCCGAATGATTGAGGAACAGTTAAGTTCACTCCGAAATATCATGACCGATGATAAGCATAGACTAACTTTTTATGATTCGACCGTCAGCATTATCTGCCCGTTTCAAACGGGTCAGTATGGTTTTCTCCGATGCAATCATTCGAGGACACCATTTTAAAACTGTTTCGAGCTAAATTAGGTATATATATATATATATATATATATATATATATATATATATATATATATATACATATATATATACACACACATATATATATATATATATATATATATATGTATATATATATATATATATATATATATATATATATATATATATATATATATATATATGTGCGTAGACGTGTCGTCCGCTGATTAGCCGGCCCTCATTACAGACCTAAGCCGACGCTCTTCCCTCCGCAAACATTGTCGGCCGGAAGGTAAAGAACACCGAGGATTTATGAAAAACCAGGACACATAAAATATAAATTGCAAAATGACCGTGGCAGTCCAAGCACCGCCAAAATGAAAGATACCTCGTAACTGTTAAGAATATACAGCAACCTAGATCCCAAAAAATAGGAACGTACTAAGTAGCTATTGCAGCCTTTGCACGAGCACACGTTCCACGTCAGGAATCACTTGTCGCTAGGTACTCACCGATATGGATCTCCACATGGCGCCTGGCGCTGTCGACTGTACGTGAACACGGACCAAGTCACACAGGCGCCGCCTGAGCCCCAAGGTAGGCCAAGAGCTGCTTGCCCATTGCGGGGAACAGAGGGGGACGCCGACTGATAAGAGCCGGCCAGCCTGCGCGGCGAGTCGTCCAGACGCAAACAGTTCGAGAAACACGACCCGTACACGACCCAAACACGAAACGACTCGGGCACGGTAACGCAGCCAACCCAGGCGTAACAGGAAAAAGGCCGTAAACCCCAATCACCACCACTCTGCGACTGCACTGCACGGCCCCGAACCACGGCTCCGTTCCCGGGAGACGACCGCACAGGGGAGCAGTCTTCAACGACAGAAACGACCCCAATTACGGCTTCCATTCTCTTTTAATGCTGCTTGTTTAGGACTTTGCTGAATTCTTAGAAATTATCCATTGGCAAAACCCACCTTAAATAAAAAGGCAAATTCAACAAATCTTCAAAATTATTTAACTTCAAAACCAATAGGTCTGCCCAAGGGAGAACAAGGCATATCTATGTAACTTTACACTCACATGAAAGTTTGATAAGGCCGCTCCGTAGGTTGATGAAAAGAATTACGTTCTTTCCTTCCATAACCCTCTTGTGCGTTTTCGTGGCGTATTCAGCTCGGATTTCTTGGTGGAAAATACGCATTCTCCCCAATGCTAAATCCTCCCCAAGAGCCAGACCTCGGAGCACATGATTATGCGTGTCCGCACGAGTGGTTAGGATGCTTTGTGACGTCATTGTGATATGTTGCATATAATTTTCCATTCTGATAGTTTGACATGAAAATTTGATAGCAAACACGTATGTAACGTCTGAATCGCTTTTTTCCTCCATATGCGCTAAATCAGTGTTATGTTTATGTATGTATTTATATATCTATAAATGCATGGCTTACTATGACGTCATTTGTTTTCATGTCAATTTCATTGTGTAATCCAGAAAAGTTGAATCGTGTCGTGACAGCTGATCCCGTGTTATTTCCCCTCCTTGGCTATCCGCCCCGCCAGGAGAGCCGATTGTTTGCGGTTCGGCGTTCTGGTTTCCGCGTGGGCTGGGGAGTGTCGTCGGTAGACGGTAGGTGAGTTGAAAAGATGCTGGTGGGCGGGGTCAGACCTGAGTGCGTACCTGCACTGTGAGGAAAGATTGTGTACCATTGCCAATGTTGAAAAATGATTCAGCCGAAACCCGCCAACTGCGTGCCTCTTTCAGTCGTGCGTGTGGCGCGTTGCCAGTTTTGGGGACGGGCTCACGCCTCACGTTGAAAACGGAGGACGATTTTTCGTATTCTTTCCAGTGTACATTTGTGGGGACTAAAATGTCTTTGGGGCGAAAAACACCAAGAAACACCAAAATTTCAGACGCTGCTGTAGAGGATAGTATGCCGAATGTTGTGAGGCTCCCTATAGGTACAATTGGAGTCAAAGCTTCCTTCTTGAAAATAAATTGATTATCACATTTTGTAGGTCCAGTCATCATTTTAGGTAGGACATTAGAATCTATGTCCTCCCACTATATATAATTTAACATTGTATCTTTATGGAAAAACATACAAAATGCCAAACACCATGGCAGAGTGAAGCTTTGAACTCTTTCCTGTGTTCTTGGTTAATTCCAGGGAAGACAGCAATCACAGTCTTCTCTTTTGATGTGCTGACCTATGATCACCTTTGACCCAGCCCCCACCCCTACCCCCAAACAAGGCCCCAATAGCACTTCAGCCCCTGCGGAACAAAGCATTATAAAGGGGGCCAGGATGTCTCATGTCCTCTCCTCTCATCCAGATAGGGGTTTGGGCTTCTCCAATACTTTGTACAAATAACCCTGTTCACAATGTCTGGCTTTGTGGAGCAACTGGTCAGATGATGTTAATGGTGATGTCTGCAATAAAGCAATGACATTCACTGACAGTGTCACTTTTGTGCTTGCAAGGGACTATTCAGAACTCAAATGGGCTGTTTGCATCCCACAACAATTGTGTGCTAGCCTTTGCATGTGACATTGTGATGGGTACCTTTTGTGACATGTGAATGGGCACCTTTTGGCTGGTACATGCCCACCCAACAGCCAGCTATTTGCATGGTGCGCTGTCCTAAGCTTGCTAGTATGGATACTGCCTCTATAGGGCAGTGGGGGGGCTGAAGCATGGCATTGTGTGCAGGCCGGGGGTTGGGTTAAACCACTGAGGGAGAAGACCACGTGGCGGCAGCCAGTGGCCAGGTCGGGTCAGGCCAGGGACCGTGCTGCGTTGGCCGAGCTGCCACCCTGGCTATTGATAGGGTCTGTGAATCTGGAGGTGGTCATTTCAATGTTGATAACACTGATCCATCCTGATCTGTACCTGGATCTTATCTGCAGCCTGGTCTTGCACTGATCTGCACTGAGCAGGCTTCGTGAAATGAGCTGTAACTGGCATATTTGTTCCAGGTGTTTAAGTGATGATGTTTGGGTCACCATATTCTTTGCTCTCAGATGGCTTTTGCATGATACAGGGGCTCGTGCAGATGGTAGCAGGTGTAGGCTGCATGATGCTGGGCATGGTATGCTCGCTGATGAGCGTGGGCATATATGGCAGCCGTGTACACTCAGCTGTGTCAGAACTGGCTGCTAGAGTCTTAACACAAATCGTCCTGTTAGCTGGGGCTCCGATTCCAAAACTGTCCCTACATGATTTTAAGATGAATTTACGATATCCTTAAAGGTATAGTATAATTGCCCACCAATGTAGCGTCACTGTCAGGGTTTTTCTGGATGTTGTACGGGCTTCAGGTGGCCTTGGAACTGGCTGCTGACAGCTGATGACTGCGCATATGTGCGCATACATGATATAAGATATATCATATATAGTATATCATATACGCATATAAAATATATGATGTACGCATATTGTGCATATGTGATACGAGTCTCCTTACGATCCGCCAGCAAAAGTGACGGCAATGCTCAGCGCAAAACAATCAGCGGACGTTGCAGCGGAGCGTCCTTTTTCTTCGCGCGGAAGGCTTTTGGGAACGAGGTTAAAGCGAGCTCTGTGGTCTAACGTGGGCTGAGTTGGAACTCCCAGACCGAGTGTAAGAACAGTTCGGATCAGCCGTCACAGGTCTCGCTACATTTCACTGAGCGAACAGTTCTAGAGAGGCTCCTGTCAGTGGGAACGTGGCAGCATCAGCACTGCAGCCCTGGCGAAGGTTGGGTCGTTTAGACGGGATGTTTGCGAGGTATCGCTATCTCGTCTGCAACGCTGCGCTGGGAGCCCCCAAACGTGATGTACAACCGAGAGAGTACAAGCACTCGTAACCGCCGTCAAGCTAACTTCCTTCTGAGCCGCGCTGTCCTCTGCAGACGGGCCATGTCGTGCGGCGCGCCCGCGGAGCCGGCGCCGACCCAGCCGTGGCGCAAGGTCCTTTACCAGCGCCAGCCGTACCCAGACAACTACGTGGCCAACGCTTTCCTCGAAGACCTCAAAAAGAACGTGCGCGTTACACTGTGGACTCGCTGGGAGGCGATATCGGGCGCTGCCGCGCTGCTCCAGCAGATGGCCAGCGTGGCGCTGGTGGGGCTGGCCTTCGCGCACCTGGACGACGGCTCGCTGCCGCCCGAGCCGCTGCTGGCCGGCATCGCCGTCTCCACGGCGGCCGGGTACGCTTGGCTGCGCGCCGGCGGCGGCCGCCGCAGTCTGGCCGCCGACCTGCGGCTGGCGGCCGTGTTCCTCGTGTTCGGCTACGGGCTCTCACCATTGCTGGCCACGCTCACCGACTCGGTGAGCACGGACTCTGTGTACGCGCTGGCGGCGGCCGCCATGCTACTGCATCTGGTCACGCACGAGTACGGGCCGCGCGCCGCCTGCGTCTCAGCCGCCGTCTCGCTCAACGCCGGCCTGTTTGGCGCGCTCTGCTTGGCCTCGCGGCTGCCGGGCACGGGGCACGTGTTCGCCTTCCTCACGCTGGCCGCTCAGCTGCTGGCGCTGCCGCCGCCGCTGCGCGCCCACGTGCGCCGCCGCCACGGCCGCGCCGCGCTGCTGCTGCTGGCCTCTGCGCAGGCGAACGCATCGCTGCTGCTGCTGGTCTGCCGAACGCTGGCCGGCGCCGTGCTGCTGGCCGCCGCCTACCTGTTGGCCTGTCCGCTGCTGCCCATGTTGTACGTCAGTGGCCAGCGCTTCAAGGACAACATCTACGGGCCATGGGACGAGGCCATTCTGGAGGACACGCGCCAGACGATCCGGCGAGATGATCGCAGGCGATGCGAGAGTGAATGAGCGACTCAGGGTGTGATGGAGCGATGGGAACGAAAGAGCAACTTCCGGTGCGATGGAGCGACAGAGCAACTTCCGGTGCGATGGAGCGACGGAAGCGACAGCAGTTCCCGGTACGATGGAGCGACAGAGCAGCTCCTGGTGCCATGGAGCCACGGGAACGACAGAGCAGCGCCCGGTGCGATGGAGCGACGGAAGCGACAGAGCAGCGCCGGTGCGACGGAGCGACGGGAGCGACAGAGCAGCGCCGGTGCGATGGAGCGACGGGAGCGACAGAGCAGCGCCGGTGCGATGGCGCGACGGGAGCGACAAAGCAGCGACGGTGCGATGGAGCGACGGGAGCGACAGAGCAACTTGCGGTGTGTCGAGCCCCGGAGCGGCATATTGGGTGGTTGCTCCGTGGTGATGGGCTGGGAGGAGCGATGAGGTTCACCAGCGGTATAGGCCGTGAAAAGGGACAAAACTGCCAATCGTTTTCAACCGAACGCCCAGCCAAACTGCTAGGCGAACCGTTAGAAGCGTCAGAGTGCCTGATATTGCGCTTGACGCCCGTGGTGTGACCTGACAGAAGTAAACCGTCACATTCAGTTCCGAGCTGCAGTAAACAGCTCGACGGGCTCGGCATCCCGGAAAGACAGTGCAAATAGCTGCAGCGAGATGGCTCAGGCCTAGGCCATCACTATGTACCGGGGCTGTTTGGTGGAGAAGATCGCCTGCCTGCCTTTGTTGTCGTGAGTTTTGTTTCTCGCTGAAGTGCAACTTGTTGGTAGCAGTCGCATGATATGAGCAAAAGGGTTGTCATGGGCGTCTTGCGATGTGCCCTTTGTGCTGCGAGCGCGATTTAGGTTCGTAAATAAGTGTTAGTTTTATAGAAGCGATCTGCAGTGTAGCTTTTTGTTTGCTTTCAGCATAATATATTCAGAGCACACAGCAATTGTTTATTTCCTATGAACACTCGAGCGCTAAACGTTTTAGAACATATGTGATTTCATTGGCATAATGTTTGAAGCTGGCTTGGATGGTGTGGCTTGTCATCATATCAAGCGTTTGCCCCACTTCCGGATACGTTGTAGAAAGAAGCGAGAATGTATATTTCAAATGACGCTACAAGTCGCCTTCTTTTTAACCACAAGGATAATACGGAGCCACCCACTCGCACCTGATCGGCGCGTAATGGACAGTGCTGGACCAGCCGATCGGCCGCCGCGCCTGGCCGGAGCCCTGTTCTAGCTGCGCCCCGACCGAAGCCTGTCTCTAGCCGTGCCCCGACCGAAGCCTGTCTCTAGCCGCGCCCTGACCGAAGCCCGTCTCTAGCCGCGCCCTGACTGGGGCACGTCTCTAGCCGTGCCCTGACCGAAGCCCGTCTCTAGCCGCGCCCTGACCGAAGCCCGTCTCTAACCGCGCCCTGACCGAAGCCCGTACCCTGACCGAAGCCTGTCTCTAGCCGCGCCCTGACCGAAGCCCGTCTGTAGCCGCGCCCTGACTGAAGCCCGTCTCTAGCCGCGCCCTGACCGAAGCCCGTCTCTAGTCGCGCCCTGACGGAAGCCCGTACCCTGACCGAAGCCCGTCTCTAGCCGTGCCCTGACCGAAGCCCGTCTCTAGCCGCCATGTCGTCGGTGGTGGTTCCGCGCTCGGCGGTGGAGAGGAACGGCGAGGGCGTCACCTGCCGCGTGCAGCACCTGCCCTGCCGCGTCGAGCACCGCGGCCCCGCCAACATCGACGTGTATTTCACGCCGCTCGTGTGCGAGACGGCGCCGGGAGGTGAGCTGGAGCGCCGGCGCTGGTGGTGGGATGGGGGCGGGGCTAGGGGTGGCAGTGCACGGCGTTGTCGTGCCCAAGGGATGTGCGATGGCTCGGGTAGGCCGGTTTTAGTTGCGTGGTGCTGTTGTTGTTGATTGGAGTTTTAGGGCGCGCCGACTACTGTGGTCATTTTGCGCCCTAGTTGCGTGGTGCGGGTTGCCAGATGGTGTAAGGTGCAGTGAATGCGGCTCGGGTAGGCCGGTTTTAGTTGCGTGGTGCGGGTTGCTAGCTAGTGAAAAGTGCGGTGAATGCGGCTAATGTTTGCGTGGTAATGTTCCGTATGATAATTGACAGCTGTTCCTCGATACTTAACGATACCACGCGCAGTGTAATATCAGATGCATTTTGAGACGAGCACTCCAACTTGGAATGCAGCCCAATGTGGCTGAGGAATCGCTAGACTTCTGTTTGAAGTTCGGCTGAACAGTTGATGGTATTAGCAGGGGCATCAGTATGCAGCGTTTCTGGACGGGATGTCTATCCTCCGTAGACGTCACCTACGTCACCCTCGGACGTCCCTCTGACCACCAGTGCTCGAAGGTCAGTTTCGCGGCCACCCGCTAGATGGTATCACGGTGGAGGTGCCGGCTGGCTACGAAGGCATCGTGGCGCGCGAGGAGAAGGGGACGGACGGCACGACCTACGTGGCGACGGAGCGGTTCCGCCGCTTTACCACCTGGAACTGGGACCGCCAGCCGTCCTCCGCCGCTCCGCTCTGGGACTGGCTGGATGTGGCGAATGTGGTAAGCCGCCCCTGTCTGCCTCGAGGGCCGCTCGGCGTCTGGGCGGCGTCATTCGTGGTCCTCTGTGGGAAATTGGCTATCTCTAAGGGCGCCTGCTGGTGTCACATGAAGCTGACAAAAGGTGTTTGCATTAGCAGCTGAGCTGCTGTAGTGTTGCCGACGGCGTCTGCGTTCGCTGCGATGCCTGCGAGCAGGCCGGTCAGGGCCGAGCACCTAGCGAGCCTGGCGACGTAATGTGGCCTTGAGAGAAGCGTGATACGTGATAGTCCGTGGATGCTGCTCATGTAAGTTCACATCTGCAACAGTCACACGCACTCCGCCACACGAATCAGAATACGCTGCGGTCACAAAGTGCTGCATTTGAGCATTTCATTTTGAAGTCAGGGTGGTGTCGCCTGGCTGCGAAATTAGTCCTGAAAACAACCTACATGATATTGAAACCAAGGCTGTTCGGATTAGTTTATTTTGTTTTGGATTTGAATCAAGCTGAATGCACAATGAACATTGCTTCATCCGACAGTGAGATGTATGATAGTTTAAGGAAATGTTTCACATTTGAAGATATTGAGGCATCAGATATTATGATACAAGCTCACTTATAACTACTTTTTTAATTGGGAAACACTGCTCTAGACAGCACCCTTTTCTGTTTGGTAAATATGCTCCTTAATGTGTAATGGTTGAATTACGTTATCGTACCTTGCACAACATTGATTGAGAGCTAATTAACAGCCATTGTATGTGGAAATCCTGCTCACGAACGCCAGATATGAACGCCTCGACACTTTTATATGTCTTGGTCTTGACCGCCGCATGGCTTATGGAATGACAGGATTTTAATGTCGCCATTATTACGTCTTGAGTGCCACGATGACTTTGAAGTGCTCCCCCGAAATGCTCTTCCTGTTTTTGCGGGCGTGTAGCTCAGAAACTAGAAGGGCTCAGATCTCAAGAAGGGCAGGTAATGGACAGCGCCGAAAGGTGTTCAAAATGGCTCAAAATGGCTTTCGGCTCAAAGTTTCATATAAATGTGGAACACTCTTAAATATGTGTTTTTTTTTTTAATCAAAGATAGGTGTTTTGGAACACGTGCTCGTGGCTTGAGTGATGTGCACTCAGGATCCCTGGTAGTCATGGGGCTTCATTTTTTGCCGCTATTGCACGTGAACCATAAGCTGATCGAAAGGTCGAGGTGTCGTATTTGTACTTGACCTGGCAGTCCTCCGTCTGCCCTCGTGATAGCGGTGCCAGCAGCGCATAGTACACGCTGTCCAGTTTGCCTGTTACGTGCGCGCATTTTCTAAAGCAGATATAGAGGAATCAGGCTGCTCAAAAGTTTTTTCGTTTGTTTCGAATTGTGCGGAAACCAGCAGAAAGAATCAGATGAGAAATGCGCAATCCTTATAAATTTGGCTAAAACAAGTATTAGGCATGCCATGTCTTAAAACTATCAACGAAGGCACATATATGCGCGCTTTCCGAGCGTGGAGCTCCGTATTAAGCGAAGAATCCTGGCAGATAGCAGCTTCTTAATTTTATTGTGCCATCTAAATAGCGTGCAAGTCAGGAAAGTAAAGGCTAAAGTACTCAGCCAATGATCTTATCCGTCAACACGTGACGTTCGGTTTCCACAGCACATTCCTCATTTTTTGAGCCGGGATGCATGGGCTTAAAAGTTGTGTTTGGTACGCCAGCCAGCAATCCTTCCGTGGTCGGAGCGCATTCCTGTGCAATGCAGTCCCGTCGCCACCTCGACACTCTAATCTCAAGCGTGACCGTGGCCGTGAAGGGCGCCTACAGCACGAACGGACCGCTCGGTGGAAAGTGTAGTCGTCACGCGGTGAACTCCGTACCAGCTCCCAGCCGGAGCCCTGTTCGCAACAGACAAGTTTAACCGCAAGTAGAAGGACCGCGACGGGACCTCTGTTATCCCGCTGCATGGTCACAACGCCGTGGATGTAACGAGACAAGAGCAATCGTTATCGTGAGAATGTTACTTCTGCATGGTGCGGTTTGCCCTTTCCCCCATTCACCGGTTTCTGTGTGGAATGGTTCAGTATATATTATGCGACGGTGTTATTTTCTCCTTCATATGTTTTCAAATCTGTAGTATTGCTGACAACAGCAAATCGCGCGAGCTGCTGCCAAAGTTTTCACTTGTTGTCGACTCTACTGGTCTATCAAAAAGTGCTTTTGGAGCTAAATGTGTCAGAAGTAGCGGCATACTGTTCCGGTACATATGACACCCCTTATCCCCCTAGAAGCCCTCTTTACGCTTCGATAGCTCCATGGCTCTCACGTTACATGGACCCTGGGTGCAACAAGTGGTGGTGCTTCTGTGACGATGGAAGTGCGCTGTCGTAAATGACAGCGTGTCAGGTCGTAGTGTAAAGGCGGCGGACTAAAAAGCAGCAGACACTGCTTCATGCGGGACATGTTGTTAAACTCGTTTATTGGAATCAGGATGTGTCGTTCCATTCGCGCAAAATAAAGCCATTAAGATGCGTAGCGGAGGTGCGAGACGACAGACACCAAAATCAGCAATGGTCATCCTGGAGAAGAACCAAGCACCAAACTGGTGAACTAACACCTTCGCTAGCCGATATCATTTAGTTTGATCAAGGAGTTAGAAAGTCAGACTCTTGATGAGACATGAAGAGGCGGAGGCTCACTTATGTGGCATTCACTCATTAACACTTGGCATTCGCAAAATGTGCTGCTTTAAAATTCGTTGTGTATGAATGTTTGACCAAATAGT